GGACCCAAACTTAATTGGGTACCAAAATCTTCCTCCTCCTAATACAGGAAGCCGCTAAGTACCCAGGTGTCTGGTACTTAGACAGTGGCTGTTCAAGACACATGACGGGTGATGCGAGCCTTTTGAGCAATCTAATTCCCTATGATGGTCCAAGAGTTACTTTTGGAGGAAGCAATGATTTTGGTCTTACCAAAGGGCTAGGAAATCTGGTGTACAAGGGACTAACCATCCAAGCTGTTTCTTATGTAGAAGGTCTCAATTATAACCTTCTTAGCATAAGTCAGTTTTGTGATAAAGGTTATTCCTTGGAATTCTGCAAGGACATGGCATCTCTCAAGAACATCTCCACAAATGAAGTCATTCTCACTGGGAAGAGAATCAGAAACATCTATGAAATAATGTGGGATAATGTCAAGGAAGCATGTCTAATCAGCAAAGGTGACGCTAACCTTCTATGGCTTTGGCATAAGAGGTTGAGTCATCTCAACTTCAAAACTCTCAACAAGCTGTCCAAAGAAGGGTTAGTAGAAGGTCTTCCCAAGGCTGCATTCAGAAAAGAAAGTATTTGTGATGCTTGCCAAAAAGGAAAGCAGGTCAAGTCCACCTTCAAGGCAAAATCAGCACCCTCAACTACAAGGATATTAAGTCTTATTCACATGGACTTATTTGGCCCTGTTACACCAATAAGTCTAAGTGGAAAGAAATATGTCCTTGTGGTAGTTGATGATTACTCAAGATACACGTGGACAATCTTCCTCAACGGCAAGAAGGAGACTCAAGGGAAACTCACCAACTACATGAAGATGATTCAAAACCAAGCAAGTCAGACCATTCAGAAAATCAGATCTGACAAAGGCACAGAATTCCTGAATGAAATCATCATTCACTACTGTGAAGAAAACTGAATTCTTCATCAGACATCTGCAGCAAGGACACCTCAACAGAATGGTGTAGCTGAAAGAAGGAACAGAACCCTGAAGGAAGCAGTGAGAACCATGCTAGCAGAAGCTTCCTTACCCAAGAGGTTCTGGGCTGAAGCTGTTAACACAGCCTGCTATACTCAAAATAGGAGTATGATTTATAAAAGGCACAATAAAACTCCCTATGAACTATGGAACGGGAGAAAGCATAATATATCATATTTCCATATTTTTGGGAGCAAATGCTTTGTGTTAAACAACAGGAAGAATCATTTGAACACTTTTGATGAGAAATCAGATGAGGCCATCTTCCTAGGATATTCTATGGTAAGCAAGACATTTAGAGTCTTCAACAAAAGAACCATGATCACTGAAGAGTCAATACATGTTATTTTTGATGGAAAACATGTGGTGGACAAGCCATCAAAGCATGATCATGAAGTTCTGGATCTATCAGACAAGGATGAAGAAGCCAATGAAGGAGATAGAATGAAGCCCACGGAATTCATTCCATTCAGAAGTCTGCCTCTGAAGACTTCACAGAGGAATCCGGATTTAGACAGTGTTGAGCCCTCCGGAAATCTAGGCCAGCCTTCCAATATTCCGGATATCTCAAACTGCGACAATTCCGGAAATGGCGACCCAGTGCCAATCCATCCGGAAACACCAACAACCTCTGTCCTTCAACCAGAAGCTGAACTAGATCAACCAGTCAATCCTAATCAACACAATCTTCGTTGGTTAAGGGATCATCCTCCTCAACAGATCATTGGAGATATTCAATCTGGTGTTCGCACAAGGAGTGCCCAACAGAATCTAGAAGCTATGCTTGCTTGTTTATCTCACAAGTGGAACCAAAGAATATTGAAGAAGCTCTAGCTGATTCTGATTGGATCAATGCAATGCAAGAAGAACTCAACCAATTTTCCAGAAATGATGTCTGGAAACTTGTTCCCAGACCTACTCATCAACATGTCATTGGGACAAAGTGGATCTTCCGGAACAAGATGGATGAAAACGGCGTTGTTGTCAGAAACAAAGCCCGGTTAGTTGCAAAAGGTTACTGTCAAGAAGAAGGTATAGATTTTGATGAAACCTTCGCTCCAGTTGCTAGACTTGAAGCTATAAGGCTGTTTCTAGCCTATGCTGCTCACAAGGACTTCAAGGTCTATCGAATGGACGTCAAAAGCGCATTCCTCAACGGAAACCTCGAGGAAGAAGTTTATGTGGAACAACCTCCAGGATTTGAGTTACACACTAAGGGAGATCAGGTGTATAGACTCAATAAGGCGCTATATGGACTCAAACAAGCACCAAGAGCGTGGTATGATACATTGTCTCAATTTCTTATAGACAATGGATTTACCAAAGGAGTCATTGACAAGACATTGTTCAAACTACAAGATGGTGAAGATCTCTTATTAGTCCAAATCTATGTGGACGACATCATATTTGGCTCAACTAAGGAAGATCTATGCACTAAGCTCTCAACCCTCATGCAAGGAAAATTTGAGATGAGCATGATGGGGGAACTCAACTACTTCCTTGGCCTTCAAATCAAACAGAGAAGTGAAGGCACTCTCATCAATCAAGCCAAGTATACAAGAGATCTTATCAAGAAATTCAAAGTTGATCAGAAGTCATCCGTTTCTGTCCCCATGATGTAGATCAAACTCTCTACAGAGGAATTGTCGGATCTCTACTTTACCTTACTTCAAGCCGTCCGGATATCTCATATGCAGTAGGTGTTTGTGCCAGATTCCAGTCAAAGCCAAAGGAAAGTCATTTGATAGCAGCTAAGAGAATTCTTAGATACCTCAAAGGAACTCAGAACATGGGTTTGTGGTATGCTAAAAGCAATTCATTTGAGTTAGTGGGATACTCAGATTCTGACTTTGCCGGATGCAAAGTTGACCGGAAAAGTACATCTGGTACTTGTCAATTCATTGGTGGAAATCTTGTTTCTTGGTTCAGTAATAAACAAAACTCCATTTCTACATCAACAGCAGAAGCAGAGTACATTGCAGCTGGTAGTTGTTGTGCTCAAATTTTGTGGCTAAAGCAACAATTACTGGACTATGGAGTCAAGACAAAGGAAGTGACAATCTTTTGTGACAATCAAAGTGCTATAGCCATCTCTCAAAACCCAGTGCATCATTCTCGCACTAAGCACATTGATGTCAAGCATCACTTCATCAGAGATCATGTGGAAAAGAAAGATATCAAAATTGAGTATATCTCAACTGAAGAATAAATGGCGGATATCTTCACAAAACCACTAAGTGAAGCCAAGTTTTCCGATTTGCTTCACAAAATTGGTCTAATTCAATTAGACTGAGTGCGGTACACGTGGCGGACTACTTTCCACGTCTATCAAAATATTGGGTAGGCACGTGGCCTTGGGAATAGTCAAAAACCCAATCGCCACTAGCCGCAAAAGTCGCCCAAATTAAAACCCAATCGCCACTATTCAGATCTCAACCGCCCACTCAAAATTTTTCATCGTCTTCTTCGCGAAAAATTCTCAAGAGCTCGGTTTTGACAATATTTCTAAAAAGAAAAATTACATTGAATATTGGGGGAGACCTAAAGTCCCTAATACATTCTAAATACATCATCATCAAAATCTATAATATTTTTCCCAACAAAAGTGTTTTCCAAAAACCCTTCTAATTGTTTTTGAGTCAGTTGCAAAATCATTTTTTCAAAACTGTGAAAACTATTCGAATAATTCTTGTTTTGTTTGAATAAGTTAGAGTTCTCAGTTCTGTCTTATTCGAATAGTTAGCCAATTATTCGAATAAGTCCTGAATCTCATTTCTTCAATCCTACAGTGACTTAGTCGAATAAATCTTAATTTAGTCGAATAAGTCTGCGTTTTTCGCTCTGACCTATTCGGATAAATATGATTTTATTCGAATAAGTCGTCAGTTTGAACTGCAGGTTTGTCACTTTTAAAGGAAGTTATCCATCCCTATCTTCCATAACTCACTTACAACGGCTCTTTTGCTTGAAGAACATTATATCCATTCAAACATATTCTTTAACTAATCCAAGCAATTCAATTCATACTTTTGATCCTTCAACAATACTTCCAAGCAATTCTTCAAGAAATCAATATTTGCTTGAGTTTTGAAGAGTACTAGTGTGCCATACTCTATAAGTTCTTGTATTCTACAGCAATCCACTCTTAATTTGAAGAGTATTTCCGTTGTGCCCTTTGTTTTGAAACGGTGTGTGAATTGTAAAAACTTGAATTGAAGTTGATATAATTCAAGTTTTGGAGAGAAATCCTGAGTCTTGTGAAATCAAGACTTCGGTGGAAAGGTTAGAGGCTTGCGAATTCAAGTTCTCGAGTTGTAATCGGATTGTCAAACTCCGTTAAGTTTGACGAAGTTAGTAGAATCTCGAGCACGTTTGCTTCGGGGACTGGATGTAAGCATTAGGTCGAATCAGGATACATCGTGTGTTGCTCCTTCTCTTCATCTTTGTCTTGTGGTTGATTTACTCCTGCGAAATTTTGTTTATTCTTCCAAAAGTTTTGATTTTTGAAGAACACCTCTATTCACCCCTCCTCTAGAGGTGCATAAATTGTTCAACAATTGGTATCAGAGCAAGGCTGCATTTCCAAAGCTTAACCGCCGGAAATCTAGATCATGGCCGGAAGAACATTCTAAGCCGGTGTATCCGAAGGACAATCTACTACGCGTCCTCCATTCTTTGATGGTACAAATTATGCATATTGGAAGGAAAGAATGAGGATATTCATACAATCAAATGACTTCGACTCATGGATGGTAATCAAGCATGGAAACACTACCCCTGCAAATATTGTTGATGGAATTCGTGTTCCCAAGTTGGAATCCGAATATGATGATCAAGACAAGAAGAATGTCATGCAAAATGCCAAAGCCATCAACTATCTTTATTGTGCAGTCAACCCTGATGATTATAGGAAGATATCAAGATGCAAATCCGCCAATGAGATGTGGACTAAACTGGAAGTCACTTATGAAGGTACATCTCAAGTTAAAGATGCTAAAGTTGATATCTTATTGCATGAATA